TGACGTGAGGTTTGAGCCCAGGTTCCACAGCAGGCTGGTGACGCTCATGGAAAATGTCCAGAGAGTGGGACTAGAATGGGACCTAATGTTAGTCATTTAATCCTTTAATCCCTTTATAAGAGCCTGATAAGTGTATGGATTTCCACTTTAAAATGTACAGTACTAGTAGTATTTCCTCGTATTTATTCTAGATATTTACAGTATTGACAGTTCTTTGATAATAAATTAGAAATGGTTATGGTCCAATATATAATGGCAAAAAATATTACATAAATGTTATTAACAATTTGTTTTCATTATTTAATCACTAAATGACAGTGACCAACGTTTCTCTTTCTTTGAGCATATACACAGTAAAAGCTTATACTTATATATTATTTCAGCATATATGCAATGGAATAACATTTAATTTGTCACAATAACAACACTGAAGGATCAGAATTTTGTTTTCTTTCAGACCATTGTCAATTAAAATTAGATAGTTTGCTTAGTTTCACTACCTTGGCCTAACCTACCTGACATTCTTAAATGTCACTTCTTCTCCTCTTCAGTTATGTGGGACGTAAGCGTCTGCAGGTGAAGGAGCCGGAGCGCAGGGTGGAGGGAGTGGGAGACCTGGTGCACCCCGACTACTCCTACTGGACCCTGGGATATGTCCTGTCACTGAGCGGAGCCCGCAAGCTCCTACAGGCGAGGCCCCTGAACAAAATGCTGCCTGTGGATGAGTTCCTGCCTATCATGTTCAACAAGCACCCAAAGTGAGTGTCACCCAGTGTACGCATTTTCAAATGATAATGCCTTCAGAACTAGGGATGAATGGAGTCTTCAGTGTGCGAAAAAAAGAAAATAAATCCGTAAAAAAGGTGATCAAATAAATGATAAGGACAGATAAAGGAATACAAAATCCTACTTTTTTTTAAATAAGACTATTGGCCAAGACAAAGTCGTTTTTATCTTTTGAAAACCTAGAAAGGGTTATTAATGCCTTTGTTACCTCAAGACTGGACTATTGCAACGCTCTGTATGTGGGGATGGACCAGGCCTCAATTAAACGCCTGCAGCTAGTCCAAAACGCAGCTGCACGTCTTCTGACTGGCCACAAAAAGCGTGACCACATCACCCCAATTCTGGCCTCACTACACTGGCTTCCAATTTAGTTCCGAATTAATTTTAAACTCCTTTTATTTGTTTTCAAAGCCCTAAATGGGCTGGCTCCTGCCTATGTAGCTGAACTCCTCCATCGCTACACCCCAGCCAGAGCTTTAAGGTCTGCTGACCAGCTGCTGCTGGTAGTGCCCCAAGACCAGGCTCAAAACCCGAGGGCACCGAGCCTTCGCAGCAGCGGGCCCTAGGCTCTGGAACACTCTGCCCCTCCATGTGAGGTCGGCCCAGACCCTAGGGGTTTTTAAATCTACACTAAAGACACGCTTCTTCTCTCTGGCCTTCTAGTCAGGGCGGAGCATGACACCTGACTATTTCCTCCCGTCATGAAACCGTATCCCGTCGTATAGATCTATGAAAGTTCCAAATCTATCTACAACACGATGAAAAAAATTTTCGTTCGTTACTACCATAGTTTAGACATTAGTTTTCGAGTTTTTTTGTGATAGCTTCGTCAGGAACGGCACGATGCAACATCAAGTTTGTCATTGTGCCTAATAAAAAAAGAATCGCCTACGTAAATTATTTTAAATTAGGCTATGTATGTTGATAAAAAAATTTGTTATTTAGTAAAGATTTTAGGTAATTTTCGAAAGTTATTATACCCTCAGATAGCAATGAAACACCTTAACACCCGGTACATTAATTCGCCTATTACACGTCGCGGGCCAGTAATACCCCTTTCTTGTTTCTTCCGACTAGTATCGGCTGCGCTTCGCCTTCCTTAGAGCTAGCCTACTTCCCGGTGTAATGGGATGTATACTAAAATATACATTTGAGTAATATGGGATGACAGGTTGATCCCCGTAACGCAGGGTTTCTAACGTCCCCCACCCACCAACAAGGATCCCAGAGTTTCATGGTTATCCTCGCTAGGAAAAAGAATAAGGTCGCAGTGAAAACACCTAGTCGAAGGTCAAACCAAACGCCCGCCCCGTATGTCGGATAGCAATAATTCTCCATGTATTCGGAGGAAAACTAATTCCAGAATAATCACTATTTATTAAGATTTATGCTCACTTAACTCATCCAAATGGTGCAACACGAGAAGGTGATATGTAGAGTCAAGAATGAGAAAAAGGAGTGCTACATACATTAAACAACCAAACACATCTCCACCTTCGTCCCTCTCACGGACTAAGGGACTAACTTAAAAATTCTAAATTCTATCGTTGTGATCACAGAAACCGAGAAAGGCGACATTTGCGAAACGTTAAAGCGGAGACACCCTGATATTTTCCATAAGACAAAGACAAGACTAAACTAGGGTACGCTCAGCTGCGTGTTGACAACTAACCCACCAGTCACGGGTTTTTTTGAAAAATCCTCGTTATGCGAGTAACCATATCTACACCGCGTATTAGGAATCAAATGAGAAAAGGGAAGTGGGATAGGATTCCCTTTCACGTACATGCATTTAGTTAGTTTAAGTTTCATAAACCCAGCTCGGTTCAACGTAACATGTACATATTTTTTTTTTTTTTTGGTTGGGGTATAATGTTAGTGTTATTTTCTGTTATTAATTCCTTATATTTTTTTGTTNGTTTTATCACTGCTACTTTGAATGATTGTGGAACATAGCCTGATAATAAAGACATATTCATAATATTTAATAAAGAAGTGCTAATTTATGGAAAACTTCTTTTAACAGCTTAGTTGGAATCGGGTCTAAGATACACGTTGATGGTTTAGAAGAGAGAATCATTGAATTTAATTGTTCAAGGTTTATGGCTGAAAAGCATTCTAGTTTACTATCTAGTATAATATTAGAACTTACGTTTCCGGGAGCTGTTGATAACACTATACTGGTCAAAGGCAAGAGGTCATTAATTTTGTTTCTAAGAGTAACAATTTTATCGTTAAAAAAAGCACATAAAATCATTACTACTGAGTGCTATGGGAATAGAAGGCTCAATCGAGCTGTGGCTCTCTGTCAGCCTGGCTACAGTTCTGAAAAGAAATCTTGCATTATTCTTATTGTCATCTATTAATGAAGAGTAGTAGGCTGCTCTCGCTTTACGCAGTGCTTTCTTATATTCATTGAGAATAATATGCCAAATTAAACGAGATTCTTCAATTTTAGTGGAACGCCATATCCTTTCAAGTTGTCTCGACTTTTGCTTTATTTTGCGGGTTTAGGCATTATGCCATGGACGGAGCTAATCTATGTTGTTTTATTTTCTTCTTTTTCAAAGGAGCAACAGAGTCTAATTTTATTCGCAGGGCACCTGTAGCACTATCAACATCATGATACATTTGGGGTGGTGTACATTTTGTATAAGTTTCCTCCCTTACATGCAGACATGCTCTTGATTTTGTATTTATTCTTTTCCCTTTCCCTATTGCTTTTTTTTGTTAGGGAATAGATATACCGTGATACGGAAAAGCACAAACAGTGCGTAGATTATTCTAAGGAATAGACACATTTGGATGGTTTTTCTTGTATGAGAAAATATATTTTCTTTATACTTCCAATTTTTTTTCAATTATTTATTCCTTTTACTTTCTTATTCTTTTACCAATGTTTTCCTTTCAATGGCATTCCTAGGACTCCGCAGTTAGAGCTTTTTTGATTCAGCTAAAGCTATTTCCCCCCCCCCTGCCCTTTCAGAGACGAGTACCTGCAGTATTACGAGCCGAGGGACCTGAGAGCGTTTTCAGTGGAGCCCCTGCTGCTGTTCCCCACACACTACACCGGAGAACCGGGGTACTTCAGCGACACTGAGACCTCCAGCATCTGGGACGATGAGGCTGTGAGGACAGACTGGGACAGAGACAGAACCAAACGTGGGCGGGAGCGGGACACTCAGGAGGGAGCATTTCCTCCTGCGGCTACCCACTCAGCTCGGGGGGCCGCGCCTCCTCTGTCTGCCAGTGGAAACAGAGATGAACTCTGAGGGGGACTGAGGTCCAACACCCTGGTCAGTATATCATCCTCAGAGGGGGCACCAGGTAGCAACCAGGCGCCTATTAAGATATATTCTTTCACCTTTTCTGTGCAATGTGTAACATTTCTGTAAAACAAAACAGATTTATGTGTTCATTTGAGAAAATGTATTGATAAATAGAAATAATTAAGGTATAAAAACTACATTTGAGTACAAATATCTTCTCTTAGACCCACCCTAATCATCCAAGCTGATATTAAGCTTCAGTGGTACAGATATTCCAACAAACTCCGAATTAAATGAGCACAAACCAGATAAGAAGCTGTAAGTTTGGAACCTTTAAAGGGAATGTGTGCCCACATGAGGGCCAAAAGGGGGTCCAGCCCTAATATAATGGGGGCACTACCTCTTGGCTTCCCTAGAATTGATCTTAGCACTTCGGGATTTGACTTCAAATATGAATTGCGTTACAAATGAAACCCATTATTATTATTATCTTGAAAATATTTCTTGTTTCAATGGGATACGTTTGTATGATATTTAAACAAAAAAACATTTTTGACTTATAGGCCTAATAATCGTCTAGATTTGTGAATTAACTATAAATATGTGGTAATGAAGACAAAGGTTACATGAAAAAAATAAAATAGTTTAGTTTGCATTGATAACAAAAATAATATTTTGTTGTAACATAGAAAGGATCTTTATAAACTTGAGATATTGTCATGGTGGTAGGAATACAGAAATATAATATATGAACCTCAATAATAAGGCTAGGACTTTAATGAAAATAATACAGCCAATGTTGCCACTTGGACACCCAGATTAAATGTTAAAACACTCAAATACAATTTCTGTCCAAATGTTACAACCGACAGTTATTATTCTTTAATAAATAAATATGCTTATAGTCCAACTGTACAGACAAAAACAGAAACAGACAAGACAGCATTCAACTTAAGGATTTTTATTCTTAAAAAAGCACTGGTATTTTCATGTCAAGCAAGCAATGGAACCACTTAATATTAGTTTTGTTCCATATCACAAAATGTGTTATGAAAATAATAATTAAACCACACAAATTATACATTTTCTTTTTTTTGGAATAAATTAATCAGCATAACAAAAAAAAAAAAACATGCTTGTACTTAGGTGTTGCACAGGAAATATTGAAGGTCCAATGCTCAAAATTGAAGACACCTGAGAATATAAATATCAAAACAGCTTGTTTCAGCAATTATTTAGTTCCACAGTTCCCCCTTAACTAAAGCTTTGATAAGAGGATTATTAAAAAATTACATTTATGTAAAAATTAGGCATCAATTTTAAAAAACATCCATTTCTGTACAATGTGCATATCTGAATTAGTGTGGTGACGAGGAATTTGTCGTTCTACGCAAAAATTCAACCCAAACGCTCATCTGTCATCAAGCCACATTCAGCGATATGAACATATAGATTTGGACCGCGCTCTTTTAATTAAATTCTGCATTGAAGTCAACATGTATTTTTCTTTATTTACTAAACACCCCTTTTAAGAGTTTTTTTCCCTAGACAACCAGGGGCTGGATTTATCCCAGAGATTCATTTTGCTACCGTCCATTAACAACAGAAATTGAGGCAGGAAAAAGGAAATTCTGCTGCACAGGTAGTAGTGATGTTGCATATAAAGACAAGATAAGTACGGTGGCCGACAGGTGCAAATGCTGCAATAGGATAAACGTGCCTCATTTTTAAATATAACACTAATATGCCAAAACACATGCAAATGAATAAAAACATCTTCACCTAAATAAAACATGGACAGGGTTCACTTGCTGCAAGAAGCTCAAAACACAAAGAAAGCAAGGACACAAAAAAGTGCTTGATGACGTTCGGCGATATTTCAAGTTGAAAATTTGAAAGTATTTTGTCAGCATGCTAGCTAGCTTGCAGTGGATCTGCAATCATATCGGAAGGAATCACGCGATCACATTGTTAAAATAGGCCAATAAAACTTGAATTAAAAAAGGTACGTTTCCAGTGACATTTGGCCAACTGTATAATGCCTGACTGACAACAAGAGCTGTGGTCCCACCTGTGTGCATCACTATTTAGTGTTCCCATTTCTGTTATGTTTTAACTTCTTGCAGCATTTTGTTTCAAGCGCTTTTAGTAAACTCTGCAGACATTTTGTCAAGCTAGTGAATATTTTCTAAATGCTGCACGTGCTGTCAAGTTTTTGAAGGGGTTTCTTCATTTGCATGTGTTTTGGCACTTTTGTGTTTTGACGTTTGCATCGTTTTAGGAACTGCTGCACCGGTGCAGCGTGTTGGCCACTGTCGGCCACCATAGGTAAGGACATAGGGTACATAGCAGACCATCTAGCTGATTAAACTTCTTAAATCCAAGGCTTTAAAGGAATTTCTGAAAGACAGGATGGATGGATTTTGTAAAGAAAAAGAGAATCTGTGAGGTATGTATGTGGTATATAGCTTTGTGAGAAGACGCTCCCATCTGTGAGGGGTGATGGAAGCTCATATTTCCATTTTGAAGGCTTTAAAAACGAGTATATGGTGTGTTCCTTTGTTAAAACAGTCCTTATGTTCGTGGTTACTGCCAGCAGCAACCAAAAACTATCAACAGATCAATCCTCTGGAGGAGGAATGTGTACGAAATGTTCCCATGAGATCAACAGTGAGATGGTTTGACGTGTGAACGCGGAAGACAGATCAGGAAGCACAAATGAAGGGTGTGAGATATAGAAAGAAAAAAAATCCACAACAAGAGATGGCCATGATGACTAAAGCAAACATAAGAACGAAAAACTAGAGACCACTTTTTGCATCACGTTTTTTTCTAAAGACCCTGGACAAAAAGGCAGTTTTACAAACCATTGGTTATCAACACATGAGCATAGTCCCACAGTGCTTGCTTGTAGAAGCATAGCAACAGTGCAAGCCATGACACAACTCAGCCCAAATACACCTATAAGAAAAAAGTGCCATATTGCATAACGAGTATCTGTGATGAGAGCATACATATACCTGTACAATGATTCAACTGTAAACATGGTGCAAAGTAGTTATGACATAGTTTAAGGCTTTAAGTGTTGTTCACTGAGATCAAAAGGAATATGTCCATGAGCTGGACAGACAGTGTGAAAACAAAAAGAAAAGATTCACCCTCTTTACTCAGACCTGGATATTGTGTGTACTCTGATAGATTTGATTATTTGATGGCTTGCTCATGAATGTTATTTTTCCTGAAACACAAGGATTGTTGACTTCCTTTTTTGGCATATAGGAATATTTAGGTGCCGGTTCACTGAACAGGTTTTTTTTTTTTATCACAGTGGACATTTTGACTTGTGAAAAACAGGTGTAACGAATAACATTGTGGAATGGCTGCATCCCATTAACAGAGGTTGGCTGGTTCAAAGACACACCAATATGGAATAGAGCCACCATTTGCTTATACTGAGCTACTTCTACCAAGAGGGTTTCCAAATCAGTTTTTCTGTCAGCGGGAATAAGGACAAACTAGTAGCCGAGTTTCATTGAACGTGGTGGAAGGGTGTAGCTAGAATAGGCCAAGAACCCATTACATGTTTTGGGGGCTGATCCAAAAGTTATGTTTTAGAATCATTAACCATTTGAGATTGAGAAACGCCCGTTTCCACCGTACAACGTAAAGCTTAACACGACGAATTCAAGAAGAGTGTCAGACTCAACAAATGGTACCCCCAAGAAGCATGTGAATGCACCATTGGCCTCGGCAGAGGTCACCCCGACTGCCATTCTTGATTATATTGGTTGCACCTGTGCTTTTATTTGTTTTGACAAGTCAAAATTAGTGTAAATCAATAAAGGTCAAATGGTATAGTGCGGTGCTGGAGTGAGTCCAACTCCCGGAAATGAATGAGCATATTACCAATTGTTCTTCTCTCGTCTCGAAGCCAATGTTTTTTTGAAGGTGTTTTTGGTTAGGTGCCTGAAATAAATTCTGTGGTTATCACAAGCTTAAAATATGTCAGTAAATACCCCACTGGTGAATGTCCAAAGCTTTTTTGTGTCATGTAAACAGCAGTTGCTAACAAGTGGCTTAATGAGACTACTCAATGTCATCACGCTGAACATTAGCCGCCCTAGCTTAGCGGCGGTGACGCATTGTCATGTATTGGCTTAACGTTAGCTTTTTACTTCTGGCGATTACATTTACGTGTAATAGGTGGAGATAATCCTGCTGAACAAAATGTGTAAGTATCATAAACATGTGTTGGCCAGAGATCTCATTTTCTGCAATATTTTGAAAACCAGTAGGAAAATCCCATTGCTTTTTCACTTCCGGGTTGGCCTACAAAAATACATCGCTGCACCACTCAATAGTTGTGACCTGGCACACCTGAACCTGAACGTGTTCTGGCTCCACACCCCTGATGAGTGAGGTTTAAACACTTTTATATAATTCTGATATCAATGCATACACTTTTTCTGACTTCTGCCGCTAACAAAAATGTAAATAAAAAACACATACACACCAACACTCACAGGCAATGCCATCCTATCAAGAGTATACCGTTACCCCTAATATAAGGACTACAATTCTTCACATGTATTAATTCTGCTGCTAGTAGCATTACCATTTATCTACATTAAAAGCTTAAAGCTTATATACATTTGCATCAGTATAGAACATAATACTAGTGTATTACGTGTCAGCGTGTGATAACTGATCTAGAGTTAAGGATGGTGTGCAAACAGCTCCTCTAGTGAAGTTTAATCCACTTTCTGGGAAAAATCAATATTTGATCTATAGTTAAATTGGATATAAAGAAGGCATTACAGAATGGCTTCAATGATGGTTACCGATGCAATAAAAATTAAGGAATGTGTCGCCACTAAAACTTTTATATGGAATCAGCAAAGCTAAAAAATAAAAAGCTAAAAGGCTTCTAGTCAATGCCTCGCTACCTAACATCACAATCTTGTGCTACTCATGGTAAATAAATGGTACTGAAAGCACAACAACAATCTAGAAATTAACCACAAGAAAAACAGGAGTTTTGGCCGATTTTTTTGAGTAAATGTGAAAAATCCCTGCATTTGTGTACATGTTTGAAAAACAAGATTATTGATAGGGTTGGGTTTATTTTCTCGATTTTAAATCTGCTTAATGTTCCCGTTCTCATCGAATCCTGAGTTAGGAAAAGAAACAAACAATATATTTATTTTCATAAGGTTTAGGCTGCCTTAAACATGTTAGGAATGACAAATTATTTAGTGATGGTTTTTGGTTAAAAAACAGAAAAGCTGTGCCATTTTAAATGTTTTTAAATTAGCTTTCTGAGAATTTAAAGCCTAATTAATTATACTAGGAAATGTGAGCAGGACTGCATTATGGCTTTTTTTTTTTTAAAAGATGTTTTGCATCAATGTGATGAAGTTCTTTGATCTGCCCTGTAATACTTTTGATTAGAATAGCCCAAAACATCCCCATCTGGTCTTTTAACGCAAAAAATATGTCATTCAATTTCACGAGACATGACATGAAAAAGCATGTTCCCTTGCATGTTGTTTTATTTTCATGCAGAGATTAGAGGTCACTGCATCGTGCCTGTCTTTAGTGAAGCCGTTTTGAAAGCTAGCCCAAAATGTAAACATTATACACGCACTTGGATACACGTGTAACTGGCCATGTAAATTAAGTGCAGTAGGTCCAAACTTTCAGGAGACGATAAGTGGAATCAAAAAGCACATTTCTTACAAAAACCCATTTCTTAAAGATTTTGAGCGTTTCTCGGTACCCAACCCTAGTTAAATTAGGGGATAGTGGTCACATGACTCGTTTGTAGACAGAGGGATGAAGCTGCTCCCCCTCACTTTCAAGTTCTGTGTGTGTGTTTTTGAGTACAACACAAAAATGCTTAATCCTAACCAGTGGACTGATTGTAGCTGGTTAACTTGAAACCGCCCGACCTTCTGTGCTCCTGTAGAACGCCCCCCCCACAACCCAAACCACCCTAATTGTACGCGGCTGGGTTGGGAGAGGGCGATGCACCCTTGTTGCGTCCCAACATAGAGGGCTGGAAGTAAGGGTGGCGGCGGGCGTGCTTGATCAGGTGGTCGCTGCGCATGAAGCGCTTATCGCAGAGGGGGCACAGGAAGCGCTTCTCCCCGGTGTGGGTGCGGGTGTGGCGAGCGAGCTCGTCGGAGCGGGCAAACTTCTTCTCGCAGTCGGGCCAGGTGCAGGGGAAGGGCCGCTCACCTGCAGCAAGGAGAGAGAGGACCATTTAACACCATACCATTTACCATATCTGTCAAGCTGCGTTCACATGATACCCGGTAAAAAAACTCTGCCACCGTGGACCGCTCTTAATTGTCACCAAACTTTGAGCTTGTTTACCGCATGACCTTTTGCAGAGCAACCAATCAGATGATCACTGAATTAAGTGACGCAATTTAGCAGGGGACGTAACCATAGAAACAAATCTTTTCACTGCAAGGCTCTGAATGCAGCTTAGGTCTACAGCATGCAGCTTTTTGATGATTAAAATATGTTACCAACACAAGACTATATATCGATTAACTTTGTTATCTATAAAATGTCGATCTATGCTAACCCTACGCCCAAATTGACCGCCTCAAATGTCTTGTTTTGTCAACAACTCAAAAGATATTTAGTATACTGTCATGAGTAGAATAGTACGACTGAGTATAAGGGCCACACTAGAAGAAAAAAAACAGAGAGATTTCAAGAATAAAGTCGTAATAATACGAGAATAAAGTCATAGTTACGAGAATAAAGTCGTAATATTACGAGAATAAAGTCATAATTACGAGAATTAATTCGTAACATTACGAGAATAAAGTCGTAATGTTAGGGGAATAAAGTCATAATTACGAGATTAAAGTCCTAGTTTCATAAGTGACTTGAGAAGGGGACTGAGATTGTCTCCTTTCTGCAGGAGGAAATGGCTGGTTCTGGTTGACTACATTACATTGCATTGAGCTGACGCTTTTATCCAAAGCGACTTACAATAAGTGCATTCGACCAACAAGATACAAACTTGAAGAAAAGAGAATCCTATAAGTACATCAGGTTTCAGTTTTCAGTCTGCGCCGGAAGCCATGTAAGCTTTCTGCTGTCCTGATTTCAATGGGGAGCTCATTCCGATTCCACTACAAGGCTATCGTTCGACTCCTTCTGGATCCAAAGCCTTGATTACAAGTCTCATCGTTTCTTGTGAAACAACAAATCCCCTTTGAACAGCTCGTAGATGTAACCAACGATAGCCTTGTAGTCGGCCAGAACCAGCCATTTCCTCTTGCAGAAAGGAGACAATCTCCTCCAAGTCCGTTTGGTTCTTAGCATAGTTTCTTGCACAACCTATTCAAAGTTCTAATACTTATGATAATCTGATGCTGATGTGCCAAAAGATTAAGTATTTAGTTATTTGAGAAACCTAAACTAAAGTACTGCTTCACAAGATGCTCCACATTCCTCATTGTATTGCAGGACGCTGCTGTTGTCTCCTTCTCAAGTCACTTATGAATCTACGACTTTAATCCATAGACTGTATAAAGCTTTAATCTCGTAATTATGACTTTATTCTCGTAACATTACGACTTTATTCTCGTAATATTACGACTTTATTCTCGTAACTATGACTTTATTCTCGAAATCTCTCAGTTTTTTCTCTCTAAGTGTGGCCCTAATACTACGTCATAGTATAGAAACGAGCTAATGTTGCAGTTTCAAAAGCTGAATTTAGAGAATTTGTTTATCACTCAAATAGATTTGATCAATGTCTGCAGTATTTGACTATTGTTTTTTTTGTTAACCACTCATCAGTTAATCGTTGCAACTCCAAGCCCAACTCACCAGTTTCTGCATTGCATTGGTTAAATAGCAGATATGTCATTTTTTCTATTATTGTTTAATTTGCACATGGTAACCGATGAATTGTCAATCAAATGTCTTAAAGTTATTATTTTTGGTATTTTGCTGAAGGTAACAGATGTTTGGCCCCTTTTTGTTATTTCAACATACCTTAAAAAAAGGGCATTTTGACAAAATGATCTTATGCAGTGTGCAAGCAGTTGACAGTACAAAGAAAATAGAATAGGTTTGCATAGATTTTTCATCAATCCATAAATTAATAAATGGAATATTGTTAGAAAATGAAGTAGTTTACTGAGCTACTGCTTATTTTCTATATCTCTGTATTGATTGTTCAGTGCATAACATAGTGAAAAATGTTGATCCCAGTTTCTAAAAGTCTTGTGTGGTTGGTTCTAATCCCAAAGATATTTACTGTAATATGATATAAAACAGAGAAAGATCTCAACATAGTTAAATATGTGACAAAACATATCTGGGCTTTTAGATGGTCCAGATTAGTGTTCCTAAACTACTACTAGCCTTAATCTCCTGCAGGCAACATTAGCAAAACCGGGATAAGCGAGTGGGATGCTCGGAGCCATTTTCAAGATCACAAAGCCTGGCCACGTTGTTGTTGCAAAACTCTTTGTGGGCGTTCCCACCGCAGTTTCTTTCAGTCGTTTCCTGTCCTTAATCCGTGTGCGCCTGCTCAGTGACCCTGAACACACCAATTCCCCTCATTTTGTGAAAAATTGCAAGCACGTTATTACTCTGTATTAGGGATTAGATTTCATTCTGGCTGCTGGATCTATTTCCAACTAAACCTAGCTTTTTATATCATGTTAATACACCGCGAGAAAATACCAAATGCATTTCAAAGAGAGGCGCAATTACACATACAGTGTTCTCCCTCACCAGAAAGAAATAATGTGTTTAATCAGGCACATTCATTATCGGACGCACCCCTTGCAGCTTTTCTAAGAATGCTTTATCAACAACTTCTCCGAGAGTAAAATCAATTTTAGTAATCAGCAGACGTGAGGAAGAGAAGGTGATGCAAACAGTAACAATTTAGCAGCCCAAACACCATCACTTGCTGCTGCCATCAACAGGAGAGGCCATTTCCGACTTATGAACTCTCTACACTCTACGTTAAGGTTTCATCTTACGTTCATTTCATATGCAAATGCAGTCGGGAAGAAGACCTTCGTCACCGGTTTTAACGTCCAGCCCAGTTCTTTTGTTAGTTTACTTCTTTGTCAGTCTCTGAGGGGAGTTTTCAGTCTTTCCCTCTTTGTTTGGCCACGTTATTGTACCAAGTCAGGGAAAACATTTACCACCGCAGAGCTACTATTAGCTAATCCGATAAGGGGCACTTCCCCTGGTTAAAACACTATGGAAGTACATGTCACCGCCAAAGCAGAAGTTATGGACACACTTTATTTCCAGCTATACACAACATGAAGTGCTGATACTACAAACTGTTGTTGTCCTCTTACCTGTGTGTGTCCGGATGTGTGCCTTCAGGTGGGAGGATTTCCCGTAAACTCTGTCGCATCCTTCAAAAGTGCACTGGTGTCGCTTCACCGGGGACCTCGGGGCCCCCACGCCTACTCCCCCCCTCAGCTGCTGTCCGGGCACCGGGGTGGCGGAGGGGGTCATGGTAGGGGTGGTCGGGTCCGACAACGTGGTGTAGCCGCTCTCCCCTCCACACGAGGAGTTGCTGCTCTCCGAGTAGGCCGACATGGGGCGGAACTTGACGTGCAGGTCGGTGAGGATCCCGGCCACCGCCATCATGTTGGCCCCCTCCAGCCTCAGAGTCTCCCGCACTTCCCTGTCCTCGTTCGACACGTCGGGCTCCCCGGGGAGCAGGCCCACGGTGGTCGGCTGGCTGGTGGGGGCGACCGGGGTGGGTCTGTGCAAGACAGGACCGCTGGATATCGATACCAGACACTCGGCAGCGAAATAATCAGACGAAGCAGTCAACGACATTGTTATCTGCCTCGTTTTGTTGGCTTTATCTAGACAAAAGTAACGAAACGAATCCGCCAGGAGGGGCTAGCGGTAGTCTGAGCCTGACCTCGTTTTCATCAAACTCGACGAACCAACCGTTTCCAGCCGAGCCCTGTAACCGCCATACAGTGTGTCAGTAGTCTGAAAATGGCTTATTTAACTAAAGAAGAGGCACAATTGAGAATAATAATGTGCTAAAACCTTGCCAATAACTCAAGCCAAACACTCAAGCCCCTCACCGTTGACGGTTCATTGTGTCTGAGCCTCCGAGAAGCCGGTCAAACCTACGCCCCCTGGTCCGGACCGTAGATGCGTTTAGGGCCTATCGGATAAATGGATTTTAGGGGTGTTCTAGGTTAACAATCTCTAAAAATGCCGCCCTTTTTGTTTCATTTTGTCACTATAACTACTTCAGTATCGTATCTATAATTGAAACACTGTATTTTTACATAAACTCCATATAGCAAATCACAAAGGGCAATATTTAACACAAACTATGAATATAGCATCTAGGTATGTTATGTTTCATAAATAACCACAAAGTCCCAAGCACAATGCTTTTAAATGACAATAATAGAGCATAATTGACATACTGAACGTAATAAAATGTGCTATTTCTATGATTTCAGGACTCTAAAAGTTGGGGTGAAACCGGGTTAACGGTATTTTTTCGGAGACATTTCTTATTTACCATTTTTTGCTACGTTTTGAACGCATTGTCTACCAGCGGCACGCAGTAACTGACGTCGCAGCACGGGCGTGGACCGCGGCGGCGGGTGCATCGTGGAAAGTAGTTGGCAGGCAGCTTGGGTAATGATGGGGGAAGGAGATGGGGATGAAAGGCGCGATGGGTAATTTAGTTGGAGCCCACCCGAAAGGTTGAAAAGCGGGACTGAATAGTGCAGCGTTTTTTTTTTTTTACACCTTCGGGGCAAATTTAGTTACACGAAGGACTCTCTGTAGCCTATACACTTCTCCAACTGTTTTTATCCATAAACCCAGACACTAGATGTCCCTCTTCCCTGACGCTCACCTCACTAAGCTGTGTGTAGAGAGAAGTTTATGAATCAGCTTTAATAGGTTAGAGTCCACACTGGTTGTGTGGCTTATTGATTATGGTCATAATGACAATGTGTATGTAACTGTGTGTCCTGAACTATTAATATAATTTACAATAGCAATAACACTTTGGTCATTATTATAACTCCAGGTTGTGCTCTGTCATGCTTTACTATTGTACTATAATTAGGATATATACCTGCAGATAAATATGTTTTACATTGTACATTATGATGTCATCTTTCAAACTGAACAATGCAATCAAATGAATTTGATCTCACAGTATGTCATTACATGTTTTTTTGGGGGGGGGTTCTTTCTGAGGTCCACTCAAGTGATTGGCTCGGAGTGTGTTTGTAGCTCCAGTTGGGAAGGTATTTCCTGATTGGTCGCTGTGAGCACCATGGGTCACTGTGGAAGCCCACGTACAAGCCTGGTCATTCAGTGGTGGAAACAGTGCTTGGTTTTCATCCCACTTACATGTGGAGGAGGCTTGGAGGAAGCCAAACCTGAAGTTACTACAGGGATTGCTATGGCTATGTTCTTGTTACCACTCAGTTGTCTGCATCTTCTTTTTCTGCTGCTACACGGTGAGTTGTGTCTTTTGTTGTGTGATATATGCATTCATGGTGTGCAATTGAATTTTCCATTAAAGGTAGAGTTGACTTGCCTAAGAGTCGAGATAACATGAGGGTTAAATATAGAGGTTTGGTGAATTTTCTATACGAAAAGTTGTTGTTTTTTGTCATTATGTTGAATTTTTTTTTGACCTGATATTCCATGCAGTAGGTGATTGCTTTCGGACGGAACCAAATCTCTGTGATTCAAGTTGTGCTGGTGAGAAACCAGTTTGTTGCTTATGTCACAATGCATGCTCACTGAAAAATACTTAAATGATAAGATTTGACATAAACATTTTTATACCACAAGATTTGCCTCAATTAAAAACTCACTTTCTTTAAATCTTATTATTTCATGTCTTTAGGGTCTCCTACCCCCGACTTGTCCTATCAGAGAGGGGTCAGGTATACTTACAGGTATAGCACGACAATTACTACAACCCTTCATGGCTCCAGTGCTGGAAGGAATGGACTGGCTTTGGACTGTGTGGTTGATATCGACGTGGTTTCCAAGTGTCACCTAATGATGCAGGTCAGTTTTCATAGGAGTGTTAGTGGGATTAAAAAAGAAATGCAAAAACTCATTCATTTGTTCACTTGCAGATCAGGAATCCACAGATAAAGCGACTTTCCCCTCAGAAGGAACACTCTGTGCAACGCTTAAAGAGCTTGAGGTACAACTTTATGATGTCTTTATAAGTAAATGTGCTCTATTTTGCATGTCTGTCCTCATTGTGCAGCATTCAAAGTCCAGATCGTTTTGGAATGCCACAACTGTTTTTCCTATGAATGTGATACTCTGTTCCGATGCTTCACTTGTCTGTGTGTTGGGTCCCCGGGGGGCTCATCTGCTGTTTTTGTTTCCCAGAGATTCACTGGAGAGAACGCGCCTCAAGTTCTCCCTCCATGGGGGAAAGGTCACGGCCCTCTGTCTCCAGGAGGGGGAGCAGGTGTGGGCCCTCAACTTTAAAAGGGCTCTACTGAGTATGCTCCAGACCTCCCGCATGGCCTCCAAACAGGAATTAGTAAAAGAGGTGAGGGTTAATGAGGGCTCTGTTCTGTGTATGCAGTAGCTCCTCTGTCTTTATGGAAATTTCAAAATAACTACTTCTAGTCCGAAAACATCCCCTCTACTCCTGCAACAAACAAGAACTGTCATTAACACCATCTTGCCATAATGTAGTGCACTCACAATGGTAATTATCTGAATTTTCTCTAATCCCTCTTCCCAGACTGATGTGTATGGGACGTGCAGCAGCAAGTATGAGAGGAGAGGAACTGTACTGCTGAAGAGCAGGGATCTAAAACATTGCCAACAGGCCAGACTGGCACACTTCTGGCCCCATTCAGTAGCTTTAATTGAAGATACTGTGAGTTTACCACTCTTCTTTTTTTGATAAAGACACTGTTGAAACTGAGGCATTTTAAAGGGGCCCTATTATCCTAATGTTCATATTCTGTACATTAATGTAAAGCATAATGCCTCTGATGTGGCTAAGGGTCAGTGTCAGTGGGGGTCCATGGGCCTTGATAATGTTGATAGGGGCAGTCAGGACGTTAAGGGCCGAGCCCAGACCACATTGGCAATGTTTTTTGCAAACAAAAACAAGCTCTGATTCTATTTTAAAGCATTTTATTGCACTCCATCCTTGCTGGTACTTACAAAACCCCAGCTTCGGCCCATTATACTTGTTGATTCCTTTTTCTTATCTTTGGTATCTGAGTTCAAGGAAAGTGGAAGTTGAAAGAGAGTGATGACGCTGGTTCACACTTTTCTGCACAACCCTAACCCTGAGCCCTCTGTCATCAAAATAACATCAGTAATGTGGTTCAACTGTTGCATTACAGTTCTTCTTTCATGATGCAAGGTTTGTTTTCTTTCTTTGCTAGTCAGTGCAATCAGAACTGAACTGTATTCAGAAGCATGGATCTACAGTGATGGAAGAGGTCAACTGCACTGAAGTTGTTTCTATGGCAACATGGTCCGGGACGGCAGGGTTGGTTAAGACAAAAACAGTGTCGACCCTGCTGCTGCTCAGAGCCCAGCCAGGGACCCCCTCAGGAGCAGGTCAGGAGGAGTGCTTACAACTTAGCAACTGTTTTATAGACAAGTATCCTGATGCCTGTTCTCCTCAATGCAGATTCCGTAGGTCTTGGTGTTCTGACTGATCTGCAGTTTGAGGACGAGGGGGCTGCAAGGCCAGGAAAAGCCAGAGCGTCAACACCTCAGCAAGCCAGCCAAACTGTTCGGATGTTATGTAGCCTCACCTCAGACCCACAACTGGTAGGACTCAACAAACAAACAGTCCGTGTAGAGAGCAAAATAGGCAGAAAGTATTGGCTCAAAAGCAATTTAGGAAACCCATCGCTTATCGTCTGACGATGATTATGTTTTTTAATACATTAACATTTGCTAATAAACTGGCTACTTTTGAAACAAAATGGTCATAGACGTCGTTGTCTCGCTACTCCAACTCCATTCCGGCCTCTCAAAAGGCTAAAGGACTGTAAACAATGAGTGTCACAATAAACAGGGTTCTGCAGGGTTCCGTCACCTGATCCCATTGGTCCTAAAAATCTGTTTTCCAATTGACTTACATTGGTTTAGAGACCTCTATAAATAATTGGATAACATTTTTTATTTTTTATTTGATTGATTCGGACTGATGAAGTTTGAAAGTTTAGATTATGTGCACAGTTAAATTGTTTATCACCATTTAAGTTAGCGTAGTTCTAAACCATCATTTTGGAATGCTTGCTCCATGGGCTCATTGATGCGGAACATCACCAGGAGTTGTGGGTGTTTTTACTCTCAGATGTCAAAGTTTTTTGCCTTGTGCTCCAACCAGAACTTTGATTGAAATGAGCAGGGCTCTACCTCAAATGCTGTATCCAGTTCTCTTTACACACATTAATGCATCAGAACAAGATGCCAATGGGTTACAAGATTGCCCGTACCCTCCCAGAATGCTAGCCTAATTAAGAGGATTGACTTCCCCCAATACTTTACTGTGAATCATTTAAATGATTCCCATACACAGGAGGCCAGTCAAACATAATCTGGCAGCCCTCATCATAATTTGTTTACATGGGATGTGTTTAAAAATAGCTGTCAGACCCAGAGCCTGACACTGTGATATAAAAGCTGTGTGGGATAAAAAGTGCATTCTGTAGGAAGCCATTGGTTCTGGTTGAGCAGGAATAGATTTGAAAAAATGGAGAGTACATTTAATTGATTTTAGGATATCAAAAATCTAAGTCTATATATGTGTTTGGTGTTTGCTCTCAGCTATTGCAAGAGTTCCTTGAACTGGCTTTCCAGCTAAGAGATCTGACACTTGCTCAATTGAAGACACTTTGGCAAGAAGCGTCTTTCAAGTGCCTCAACGACTGGTCAGTATTTTCTTTGTGTTATATAATAACATACAGTATGTTATGTTGAGTCATTCAGTTATGAATCAATGTCTATACATGTGAGTTTAAATTGGATATTTCCACACTTGTTATAGAGAAAAACATTTATTGTGTGACCAGTACATTTGATTTAAGCTGAAGGAACTTTTGTATATCGGTTACCATTAGAAAATACACAGCCTCTGGCAAAATATGTTAACAAAAGACAGTCTGTGTGGGACAGTAACTAACTCAATCAGAGACTACTGTGAGACGGATGACTTACATTAAACCTTCTTAGTATCGTCTATGCAGAATATAACAAACTGACATTTTGACTTAAGATACAAAATCTTGTTTCAAGACTAACTTCATAATCATAAAATATCAGCTATGGATTACTCTGCATATATTCAGGTTTAAATTGAGAATAAACCTTTCTTTGGTTTAATGGGATCACACCAGCCGAAAGGCCAAATCGGGCCAAGGTGTAACGTATGGGGGGGTGCGCCCCCTTATCCCACTTCCTAACCCTGAATTCCGGGTTCCCCTTGCCCAACCAATCTTTTAAACTCAACTACACAGCTGTAGGTTTTGTGATTGCATTTGTGTTGTTGTGAAAGCTAAAAACAATACCAGTGCCGCCAGTTTTGCGGTTTGTAAAACCGATTGCCAGTAATGTAATTTGCTACTAAAGTCATGAGTCAGTGTTCAATGACGGAATAAAACAGTAAATAGTCAAAGACCAAACACAAGATCCCCCAAAGCACATGTGTGATTATGGAAAAAGCAACAGTCCCATTTCGGTAAAGTCCGGCTGACCGTTTTTTTGTGATTTCTTGTTCATGGTATGACTAACTGACACAACTAAATGAGATGAAGGCAACATTAACAAATATAGTACAACAGTGAAGATTAATACCTACCCTCCTGTCTGTATATGAAGCTGCAAGCTAGCCGTCGGTTAGCCTAGCATAAACACTGGAAACAGCAGTAATTTCTTTAATACCACATTATGACACATACATACAGCAGAGGTTGATACTGACGCTCATTAACTGGTTGGACAGGCAGCCTCTGTTGGATGCATTACCAGCCTGTGGATCTGAACACTGCATCGTCCTGCTGACCGACCTGATGAGGAGCAAAGAGCTGGAGGAGGAGCAGGCTTACGCTTTTTTAACCACCATGGCCCTCATCCCTCATCCATCGCCACAGATCATCGAGTCCATCAATGTAGGAACCTCTATGTGACATTAATGAAGAACTAAATATCTCATCAATTAAATGAAATCATTTCTGTATTGAGGCTTGTCTTCTATCTGTGTTAGGCCTTACTGCAGGTCCAAGAGCTTCGTTCAAAGGCGCTGCTAGCTGGATCCTCTCTTGTGTATCAACTGTGCCAAAAGTCTCAAGCCTCCTGTAGTGAACTTCCTCAGGTGCAGTCCTTCATACAGATGCTTGAGGAAACCCTGAAGGAGGGCTGCGAGGAAGAACAACCCACTCAAGCTAAGGTGCTTTCATACAGACACGCACACTAGCTGCATTAGCATATATTCACCTGACTAAACCTGTTGATTTGAACAATTGTACATAAACAATGGCTAATATACATGTATATTTTCACCCCAACAGTTTTATTATGCACTGAAATCCGTGGGAAACATTGGTCTGTCGGTTCCAACCTTTATTCCATTGCTAAAATGCTACATGCTAAGCCCCTCAACTGCACTTGAGCTGAGACTAGCCGCCATCCAAGCCTTCAGACGCTTTCCCTGCTCAGCTGATGTAAGTTGATTACATTATCTTTACAGCTTTGTTGCCATTTTATGACAGAGGACAGTTAAAGATTGGGTAGAAGAAAACATTTGGTGTGAGGAAAATGACTTAATGCCATAATTGAATACAAGTTTAGTGTACCTGTTAGGCTAACAAAGTGCTCCTGATGTGAGTTGATTCTAGTTAATACCTACATTTTTACTGAAATCATTCACTTACATTTGTGAAAATAGGTAACTCTAGATAACTGTCCTTTTTCAATAGAAGGTTCAGTTACTCGTTTTTCAAAAACTAATATCTCTTCATATCAAAGAGGCTAACTGTCTAATTGATTCATGATGAGTAGAGGTGGAGGTGAAGAGGTGCTGAGCCGTCTAACATGAGTGAGTGACAGCAGTTTCCTTCCTCCAGAGGTCTGTGCTGTTGCAGCTGTACCGCTCCTCCCAGGAGGATCCCGAGGTCAGAATCGCTGCATACCAGCAGCTCATGCACTGCCCCGACCAGGACGTGTTTGAAGTGGTCAAGACCACGCTGAGGAACGAGACCTCCCGCCAAGGTCTGATTCAAACCTTTGTGGTTGGTAGATAGATGTGTTTCCTCCTGAAATTAAAATATTAATGAACAATGTCAGCTTTCATTGTCAAACAGATTAAGTATTCATTATAGAAGCCACTTTATTTTCTGTATTTTTTTAGTTGGTCTTGCTAACAAGACTTCATTTTCTTTTTAAACATAGATGATGATTTGTTCTAATAATTATTAAACATTGTCTGCTAGCATGTTTCCCCAAATTACTAAGAATGTGTATATAAAATTAATCTTGTTTACTTTAATTCCAACTCTATTCTGTCTAGAGACATCAGTATGACTTTCATAAACTCCAATAGGGTACATGGCTTTGCTTTCTCTGACAGATTACATCTCACTATAACTTGATCAAAAACTATTTATTTGTTGTAAAATGTTGTGTAGGTGAATAACAACTTTTACAGTGTTAACTGCAGAAGCATGTTTTCTCAACACAGCAATCGTATGGCTAGGATATTATTTGTGTAATACATAACACTGTTAAAAAGGTTGCATTGCCATTAACGCAAAGCCCAATTACAGTATGGTGTACCCCAGGGGTCTATTCCTGTGTTTCTAGAATTCCTCATTTATATAAATGATTGACCCAATGTGTCCAAATGACTTATTCCAATAATTCTAAGTAGTCATTTATGAAGCTAACTCTGGTTTATCTACTTATGCAAAGTGGTTAAATGCAAACAAAATTGAACTTCAGAATTCGAATTGGCAAGTTTCCTTATGCCTAATGTCTAAGCAATTACAACCTTTTTTTCCTTTTTACAATGAAAAAGGACAATGGGATTCATTGACCCATAAGGTGAGAACAAAAAATCACACATTTCTGAAAAAAGCTTGAACATCTGAAATTATAGCGTCCTATATTTGCGAGGAAGTATAAAGAAATTATCTGAGATTTAATTCACAAATTTGCGAGATATTTTTCTGGGTTAAAGTAACAATGAATGGTAAAGGGGCAAAACTTAAAGCGGGATATTCATTTTTAGAACTTTCTCATCTTGATGGACATTAATAACTGTTTCTCTTCTGCTTCTCCAGTGGGCTCATATGTGTGGAGTCACCTGACTAATGTCCTGAGGAGCGAGGACCCCATGAAGCAGCCCCTAATCGAGTCACTGCCTGATGACATTATCAGCAGAGACTTTGAGGCTGAGTTTTTGAAATACTCTTTTTATTCAGACTACACTATTTCATCAGGTAAAGATGGTGTCCCTTCAGTTTCAAATTCAAGATAAACAATACAAGATAAACTTAATGTTACATGACTAATTCCTTTCAGGCATGGGGATTACAAATGTGGAAACCTCTTTGGTTTTCTCTCCCAAATCGTTTCTACCAAGATCTGCCTCTGCCAACCTTACACTGTATTTACATGGCAGAGCCCACAACCTTCTGGAAGTGAGTTTCATGTCCACTTGAATTCTAAAACTAAATTAAAGTCCTACAAAATGTACTTCAACCCATGTATTTATTTCCCAACTTAGGTGGACCTTCACGTTGAAAACGCTGAACCTCTTTTGAGGAACGTTTTCGGTCAGCAGAACTCAGATGGAGAGTCCCAGGCTCAAAGTCCAAAGTCGCAGTCCAAAGAGGCATCAAGGACAAGAAGAAGACCAGAGGATGGACGTAGTGCAGAAAAAGAAGCGTGTTTATCTGACACCAGCAGTTATCTGAGCCAGGCCAGGGCCATGGTGAGGTCACTGTGATTGCTGAAGGCCAGTTATCTCTACTTTATTAAGAGCAGTTAAGGCAGCAGGATTAACACCAAGCCTGGTCAAGAGGGATACACAGACGTGAACATGTGGGGAGGTTTTTGCAGCGGACTTGTGGCCATTTATATTGCATTTTAGATTTAAAACTGTTATTTTGAATGTACATTTGTAAAACACTTGAAGTAAATGCCTAAATTAGGGCTGCAGCTCACAACTATTTTTACTATTGATTAATTTACAGGTTATTTTCTTGATTAATGTTTCATTGACCCATGAGGTTAGAAAATAAAAATGGCCTAAGTTCCTGAATTTGCATCTAAGGTATTTAGTTACAGGAATTGAAGAACAAGACAAATGCAAGCATCAATACTCACATTTAAGAAGCCACAATCATCAAATCCTTAGTTGGCGATTAATTCTCTGCCAAACAAATAACTGACTACTTGTTTCAGCTCTCTTGAAACAATTTTTTTTTTAGAGAATGTTCATAAATGTGTCTTTTCCAGTTGTTTGGGAGGAGGAGATCAGAGGAGAACAGGCCCCGGTGCTGGGTCGGTGTGAAGGTGTTTGGCAATGAGCTCAGTGTGTTCTCATGTGAAGATCTCTACAACCAACTGGACCATCTCTCGCTGAGCGTGGCCGGACTGGCTGTCAAACTGCTCAAGGTATACTCACAGCAGCTACTCTTAAATATGCTTTAATATATTTTTTAAGATATGGCACAAGAGAAAAAGAAAATGTCAGTTTAACAATGACATAACATGATACATTAAACTAAGACTATGTTTATCTCAATGGATCAAACGGACAAAAAGGTATCCTTTCTGCATTTTAAATTTGTATGCAAACTATTCAAAGTTAAAAGTAAAAAAAAATAGAGAAAATCCCAATAGAGAAAAAAACATCCACCAAGGCTAATGGTACGTTTATGCGCTCCTTGGATGGTCCCATTTTTGAATTTCGAGATGTGTATTCCGAATTCAGTGTGTGATGAGCTTTAAATTGTAATATTGAAACAACATGGTGTGTAAAAAAAGGATTTAGATTTATATCTTATAAGAATTTTCTCTCACCGAATATCTTATTTTTAAGTAATAGAGTTTTTTTGCTTCGAGGTGTAATGTTTGGAGTCTTCTGCAAACCCAAATATTGCAATATAGGGGAAAAACATTAACAGTTATCAACAGTGTTTTTGCTATATTATCACAGTAGTTCTGCCAGAAGCAGGATAGTGATGAACAAGAATACCACAAATGAGTCGTCACCAGTCGTCCTCCAGATTTAACCTCAGTCCATGCTCCTAGTCTTACTTGAGCTAGTCTCTGTCTGTTTACCCTCCTGTCAGTTTCTCACACACTCTCTGTCCTCCAGGGTCAGGAAGTCCAGCTGAACCACCGAGCCGTGCTGATGACAGACGAGCTGGTTTTACCGTCTCTGTCCGGTTTACCCATCAAACTGGGCATCAACATGACCTCCCTCCTGTCGCTGCGTCTGAAGGGCAACATCAACTACAGGGACACCTCTCACTTCTCCCTGACCGGATACATCAAACCAAAGTACTTCCATATAATCTAACAGGGGCTACTACTCTGACATTCGGTTACAAGCGGTAGAGTGTAACTGCTGTCTGTATTCCCAGTGCCTACGTGGGGCTGTCGGCCAGGATGGGGGTTGACGGTGCTCTGGGTCAGGCTGCGGTGGACTGGGTCTCTGAGCTGAGGAGCTCCACCAGTCTGGATGGTAGTGTTCAGCTGCAGGAGGGGCGGGATGTCCGGGTCACACTGAACACACCGGAGGACGTCATGGACATCATCTCTCTCAGGTAACAGTGGATTACTACCAGAATTATTTCTTCCTTCATTCGTCATCTTTTAGAATCAGAAATGGTACAAGAGGGTAAAGCTAAGTAAAACCAAACACCAAAACTTTTTGGCATCCAAAAAGTAACTTTCTGAAACTGTAAATGCACTGTTAAAGTTGTAAGACGAAAACACCCCAACTGTTCTACACCATGTGGTAGAGATCTGCTAATTAGATAGGCCCTAAAGTATTTCCTGCTTTATCGTCTATTTCACTCTAAATGGGACCCAACTTTACTAAATGAACATCACGATGTATTGAAAAAGACTACAAACTAGAAATTGAGACCATAAAATGATTAGAAAAATATTTACTGGGGTAATAAAAGAAGTGCGAAGTAATGTCATTTTCTCATAGACTTTTATACAATAAGCCTTTTTTTTAATGCAACCAATGGAGTCACCCCCTGCTAGATATTAGCAGGATGCTGTTTTAAGGCCCTATAGAGCTGTCATCATTTTTTAGACCAGGAAATGCTGTTAGTGCAGTGGTTCTCAAAGTGGGGGAGGCAGAGGCATGCCAGGGGGGGCGCGAGAGATCAGGAGGAAAAATTGTTATAAAAAAATTGTTATAAAAAAAAAAAAATCATAATTTGAAAAATTATTGATTCGAAAATAATATGATGCAGTACTATTACGTCTGGGTCTGAGCCATTTTGTGTGCACGAGCGAGAGAGAGAGAGAGAGAGAGCGCACCGGTACCGGAGATCGTTGTTGTTAGCTTCTGGTGCTAGCGAGCTACGCTAACGGATATAAGGAGTTTTTTCAATAACAAAGTGGAGGAGAGTCCTCTCCTGTCAGACTGAGAGACTCAGTGAGCTAAAGGACTCTCTCAGTGTTATCTCAGTGGGTCTCAAATGTTTTGGTCACCATTAATGTAAACAATTATTTCCGAGGCACACGTTTATATGATCATTATAGTTATAAAAAAATAAGAGAATAAATGAAAAACAGGTATGAAATACTAAATGACAGTAAAACAAGAATAAAGTTTAAAAGGGCGATTTGTAAAATAAAAAAAATAAAAAAACCTGTTTACAGTTCTGTTTCAAATGGGTGTTGAGAGAGGTATCCATAGATCTCTTCATTTTGCTCTCAAAGTGCACCAGATTGATGCATTTAACTTCAATATTTAAAAATAAATCTTCCCGGGGGAGCTTGCCCCCGGACCCTCCTATGTGAGGTCCGCACAACACCTATAAAAATAGCACTTGACCCCTGCTTACAGCTATATTCCGTGAGCTGATTATCGAGCCTTCATTGTAACAGTCGCGGGTACATTGTGTATTTGCGTGGGGATTGTTGCAGTAGAACATTCCACTGTAGCGCCCGGTACATTAATGGGAAACCTTAAATGTTTGAGCACCCTTTATGAAACGTCAAGCTACCCCACAGCACCCCCAAAATAAATCTCTGGCGCCGCCACTGAGCCTGACTTGTGTTGGGGGGGCCCGACTTCTTTTTTTCTCCAAAGGGGGGGCCTGACAGAAAAAGTTTGAGAACCACTGTGTTAGTGTAAGATTTTTAAACATGTAATTGTTGAATTGGTTCAATATTTAATACATATTTTTTACCACATTTGCACTTTGCTTTACACTTATTTGTACAAACTTTATTTCTTCTTGATTATGTTTAGCAGGTTGCAAAATCTTCGAATTAATAAATACATTTTAATTGAACACAATCAGTCAGCGTTTGATATGTCAAGGGTTTCAGCGAGTGTGTCCATCTGTTTGTGTTGACCAGCTCCAGAGTGTTTCAGCTCAGTGGAGACCACAGAGAGGAGATCAGGGGGCCAAAGAGTCGAGTGCAAAAGACCTCCTGCACCCCAAAGACATGTGAGTCCTCCAACACAACACTCTGTATAGATTTATACATCACACACAGAAGCAGGGATAGGACGATTTAGGATTTTGCCTGTCGGCTTACTTTCTACGATTGTCAGGTGATAAAAGATTCTGTTTGATCTCTGCTTCCTTGGCAGGGTCCAAGATGGTCGGCTGGCAGCTGTGCTCCAACGCCTCGTACCCATCGGCTGCCCCAGGGGTTTCACTTCCGGCTCCAGGACCCGTCCACATCTCCCTCCGCCTGCTGAAGCTTGACCGAGGCCTACATTATTATATGTTGGAGGCCACCTACTCACTGCGCCCTCAGGTAGGAGAAAAGAAGAAGCTAAGCTCTTTGTATTCCCCTGTGTGAGATCTCTTTATCTAGCCTCACAACTCGTGTTTCAGAGAGGCACCTGGCTGCCCAGAGAGGCCTCCATCCACTTCCTCCTGGCCACACCTCAGTCCTCCATCCCCAGGGACATGTCTCTGGACCTGACCTTCAACCCCCACAGACTGCTGCTGAGGATCACCCACCCTCTGAAAACCATCCACATACAAGGTCAGTCGCAGAGGGGAATTATGGGAAAAAAACTTCTTTCAGGGTTTAATACTGAAAATGTGTTGTTTTTTCAGGGCAACTTGAACAAGAGAGGAACGTAAAGTCAGGGAAGCTAGAGCTTATAATTGATGGTGTTCACTATTACGTCATGGCAAGTATTGAGATTGTGTATGCTATGTGATAAGATGACATGTCTAGTCATGAAAGATGTTAATTAGTTTATTTCTAGGGCTTAGTGGACACTCACACCCTGCTGTCAGAGCAGAGGATGCGCTATCACCTTGAAGCCAAAATGGCCGCTGATGGACTTCCCATGGTCCTCTCTGCCAATGTTACACATGGACTGGGCAGGAAGACCAGCTTCTCCGCCACTGTGAAGAACGTGTTCAGAGAAACTGCATCACTGTCGGGTATGCAACTAATATAATATATATAATATTAATTTTCAACATTTACATTTGACATAATATTTACCATAAATGTATTATTCAGAAAATGTTAACCTAAGTCACAAATCAAGTTACAAGTAGGGTCATTTTTTCATAGACTTCTATGCAATCCGAAAAACAATGTGACAATATGATTTGATTGGCTGACGCTTCCGTCGAAGCTTGAAAAGTTGAACTTTTCTCAACTTTTGAAGCGAGCAACGGAGGCAAAGTGCCGCGACGGAAGCACAATGCAGTTCGGCAAAGGGTGACGTCGCCCCATTCAAAGTGAATGGGAAGCTGCGTCGAAGCTTCAACGCACGCCGCCGTGTGGACGGGCCAAGGAATCCCTGTAAAAGTTGTCCCTATGCTGTTTAGAATGTTTACCTTTGACATGTGGTTTAGCTGTGTTCGTTCCTCCATCAGTGTCCCTGGAGCGCAGGCGGGATGCCAGCAGCAGGCAGTACTCTGTGGAGGCGGAGCTCTTGTTACCTGGGGTGGTGGGCACCAGGATGCTGGGTCTGATGGAGCAGAAGGGCTCATTGTGGAGCTCCGCGCTCAGGCTCAAATATGGTCTAGGAGGTGAGCTACTAAAATATGTACATTTTGAGAAGCCACACGACTAGTATAAGGTTTATTATACATACAAGGAATTTGCTTTGGTGTATAATGGTGAATTCATAATATTACCAGAGAAATTAAGTTGCAAAAAAGGGACACATAAAAAAAAGCAGGAGTAAACTCTAAAAAAGTAAAGGAACAGTATGCCTAAAACCATACAAAAAATTAAGAATCCTCCAATAGTCCTCTTTAGTGGGAAAGGTTGCAATTAGGAAAGTGACGGTATTTAACTGCTTTAACTCCATCAATGGTAATATAATATGGGTTAGTGTTTAAAAAAACAGCTTATATCCGCTCATTTTGGTAGGAAATGGTACTACGGTGCTGCTCTATTCATTCAGATTGTTAAAGTGTCATTGGCAAAGGCTAACACATCTTTTTTGTTTCTGTATTTTGGAAAACTCAGCAGCAGAATGTCTCCTTCTTCGGACCAACTGCCTATCCAATATCCTGTTTATTATACAGACGACAGTGAAAAAAAAAGGTTTTTAGATAAATCACTATTTTCAATTTATTTCGAAAGAGATATTCCTGATGAGTTTTTCAAAATGGCACGTTTTTTAAAGCTACCACCACTAAAAAATGCATTTAAGTCATCTGTTCTTCCTAAAAAAAAAGTGCTCTTGTTAATGTTTGGAGGAAATTGAGCAATTTTACTTCAAGTTTCTCCCCGTCAGGTATAATTTTTAGCTCACAAAAACTTCAGTTTCCCTGACCTTTAACCCCTGCACAGGTGATGCCCGGCACCTGCGTCAGGAGTGCTACACGTCTCAGAGACTAAGGAGGGAGAGGGACTCAAACCTCACCTACATCATGAGAGCAGAACAGGAATTCTACTGCTCCAACACGGCTCCCATCAACCACAAGGTACCTGAAACCCACTGTGTGATCTCACACAAGCTGGTAAAGGGTAGTCTGGATTTTGTGGGGTTATGAGGCACTAATACAAAGTCGCTGTATAACCTACAGTGGACGATGGTCATCATGCCCCCAGTTTTGAAAAACAAGTAGCGGTAGTTACAGCTTGTGAAAAAACCCAATGTATTTCTGTGGACAGAGGCAGGTGCGAAATGTATTTTAGCCAGCTTAAAGAAAGGCTCACTTAATAGAAAAGTCTAACGCTTTAAGTGTATGTTATATTGTAAATATTTACAACGGCTGACCTTGCCGTCATATAGTTTTTTATACGAGGAAAGTGCATCTGTTATCTAAGACCTCCCCAAAGCCACCATACTTTGTTGAAAAAAACAGTAATTTTATCTCCAAGATCATGGGAGTTGCTCGTCTACAGCTGCCTTGCAAAGTCAGTTTGTGACATCCTTTTGTTGGGGTAAACCTAAGTCAAACAACAAAACAAACAAATAAACAAACAAACAAACAAACTGATAGACTCAACACCAACAACTTCTCTGTCCTTTTAGGTAAATTGCTGTTTCAATATAGTATGTCTTTATATGCACCATTCATATAGAAAATCATGAGTGGAAATGCTGAAAAATCTTACTATATAGCTTCCGAACAGAGCTCTTTGTTTCTTTTCTGTGTCTGCAGATCCACCTCCGCCACGAGGAAAGCGCTGTCCACATTAAATCGTCCCTGGACGTGAGCTACGGCAAACACTGGGACGAGATCAACAACAAACGCACACTTCTACTGAGCCAGTCCTTCAAAAACCAATCCACACAAAACCACACCAGCTACACACTGGAGGTAAACAGAACTATTCCAAACAAACGCACGTATATAATAAAAATAATCCTTGTATTTACATTTTCTAAGCACGAAATTGATATTTTATGTCCAACCAAAGTACAGTAAAATCTTTCCTCTGGTGAACCCAGTTCAGTCTCCAGGTCCCAGAGAAGAATCTGAACTACCGGACCCAGCTGATGCACTATCACCTGAAACAGCTGGGCTCAGAGAGCAGCACTCACCTCAAAATCCATTACAACAACCTGATGCCTCTGGTGGCCGGATTACACTGGAAAAGCCCCCCCAAAGGCTCCTCGCTGAGGAAATGGGAAGGTAAAACAGCTATATTTCATTTGACATAGATAGAGTTAACTTGTTGCCTATGTTTAATGGTCTTTAAACAAAGGATTATAGTTATTTAAAGCATCATTGTTTTTAATAATAATATATTGTATTATTTTGTCTCATATCGTATTGTAGTATATCATATTAAATCGTTTTTGTCAATCATATTTGTATTGTATCCTATCGTATTGTTTATCGTAACATATATCGTGACGTATTGTAAATCATATTGTATCGTCTATCCTATGTCATATCGTATATCGTACCCCGTATGTCGTATATCGTATCGTATATTGTGTCTTATCAATTATTGTACCATGTATTGCATATCGTATATCGTATCATATAGAAACCCTAGTCCACCGGTAAATGTTGATAATAAAAACACATTGATTATACATTAGGTTCTAAATCAAACATCTTATTGTTTTTTTGAGAGTATCACTGTCTGTAGTACTACGATAAGATATTATAGTATACGATATCTGATAAACAAGATACAATAGTTCACCTCCCGTTTGGACCCTGGTAAGGCTCCAGTATGTTCAAAACTGTGCTCACCTACAAGTCCCTCCATGCCCATGCCCCCCAGTACTTATCGGACCTCCTCCGCCCACATGCCCCGACTCGGAACCTGCGGTCTTCAGACTCTGGCCCCCCGCACCAACCTGCGAACCTTCGGGGACAGAGCCTTAAGTATGGCAGCCCCCACCCTCTGGAATGCTCTCCCTGCGNCCTAGAACCTGCGGTTTTCAGACTCTGGCCTGCTTACCACCCCCCGCACCAACCTGCGAACCTTCGGGGACAGAGCCTTCAGTATGGCAGCCCCCACCCTCTGGAATGCTCTCCCTGCGGAGATCCGCAACATCCCCACGCTTGACGCCTTCAAAGGGCCCTCAAGTCCCATCTGTCTGCTAAGGCCTTTGGCCCCTAATATATTTGTTGTTTTGTCTGTATGACTGTTTGTCTGACTGCCTTTTGTTATGTTTGTTTCTACTCCTGTTCTTGTTTGTAAAGCGACCTTGGGTCTCATGAAAGGCGCTATATAAATCCAAGCTATTATTATTATTATTATTATATATATCGCATCTTACATCATATCTTATATCGTATATCATATTGCATCGTATATCTTATCTTGATATCCTATACCGTATACTGTATATCGTATCATATATTGTATTTTATATTGTTGTCGTATATCGTATATCGTATACAGTATATCGTATATCATATGTTGTATATTGTATTGTATATTTTACTTTATATTGTATATCGTATATCTTATCGTTTTCGTATTGTATCTTGTTTATCAGATATCGTATATTTTCATATCTTATCGTAGTACTACAGACAGTGACACTCAAAAGAACAATAAGATGTTTGATTTAGAACCTAATGTATATTATTAATCAATGTATTTTTATTATCAACATTTACCGGTACAATTCTGTCTGACTGTAATTGGAGTGTGTTGGCAGTGAGGCCCTGGTCAGAATCCTGTCTCTCTTCTCCTCCAGGCAGCCTCACCTTGGACTCTCCCTGGCTGTACGTGTTCACCTCCCACAGACTGACCCAGCAGCAGAGCCACTCCCTCCAGCTCACCTCAGAGCTGACCGCCAGCAAGTGGCTGAACATCCGGACCCTCATGCTGGAGGCTCTCTACAGGAGCCGGGGCCGGGGGGGGGAGGCCCGCCTGGAGATCAGCACAGCAGCCGCTCAGTACATCCAGGTGAGGGAGGGGGGGAACACACCTGGGAGATATTAACAATCTAACTTATTTATATACGTTCATATCATTCTTATTATTTGTGAAATGATTGTGTAGTTGTGTTATCTTTATTAATCTACACACACCTGGTCCTGTGAGAAGGACATCCTCTGTTTCTCTCCCAAAGTGTCTTCATTTTTGTCCTATTAATTGTGGGTTTATTTGGGGGGATTCTCCTTGTTATTGCGAGGTGTTGTATGCTGTACACAGTATAAAAACTGCTGACTGAGACAAATGTGTAATGTGTGATAGGAGAGTATATAAATACAATGTTATTGATTGAGATGAGAGGAGATCAGTTTTTTAAAACTTTATTTTAAGGATGTAAGGCACCATATGACCAAGGTAAATAGATCAAAAGAAAAATAAACAACAATTAATAATAAAGGTCACACAAATATATCAATAAAAAAAAAGAATGCACTAGAAAGGTTACACATATTAAGCAAAAATACTAATTTAAATAATTAATGATATCACTCAAATGCTCCATTAGTGATTTCATTTATAACACTGAACATTTTGCCTAAAGTTTCCACTGTCTTTCTCACTCCTCCTGTCCCTCCCCAGGCAGGGGGGTGGGCCGTGGTGGGGAAGCGCGGTGTGAAGGCCTCCGGCTCTCTGAGCTCGTTTTGGACCCCCCCCCTGAGAGGAGACGTCTCCCTGGAGGCCTCTAAATCCAGCCACACCCTGCACATGACCTCCACCTGCGGCAGGCACAACGCCAGCCTCTCTGCTGCCCTGAACACCGTGGACAAGGTGGGTGGTGTCTGTGGAAGGGTGGGATTATTACTGAAATGCTTTTAGATTATGAGCGGAATATGAGACATTAGGCCCCAGGCACAGACATGTAAAGGGTCCCCGCCCATCCTATATACAGAACAGTTAAACCAGAGCCACAGATTCAAAGAGACTTTAGTTTTTCTTGCCTGTCTTTGTAGCTATTTGATGTCTCTTTGTGTTTATATTCCGTCTCTTTGTTGTACATTTGTTTCTCTTTGTAGTTTTATTCTTTCTTTTGAAGTTGTTTTGTGTGTCTCTTTTTTTGGTTTTGCCGTTTTGCATCTCTTTGTAGCCCTTTGCGTCTGACGTTTTACATCCCTTTGTGTTCATAATCCGCTCTTTTTTTATGTTTTTTGTGACTTGTGGTTATATTCTGTCTCTTTGTAGCCCTTTCGTGTCTATTTTATGTCATTTTGCATTTCTTTTTGGAAGTTTTTTGTATCTTTATTTTTGTATTCTGTCTATTTTGAAAGGTTTTTGGCTTTTTGTGGCAATATTCTCCCTATTTGTAATATTTTTGTGTCTGTTTTATGGCTGTTTTTCTTGGACATTTTGCTTCTCTTTGTGATCATATTCTGTCTCTTTTCACCTATTTTGTGTCTCCTTTTGGTCAGTATTTCTGTCTGTGTTATGTCTTTTTTGCTCAGTCAGATGGTCTAGTAATCCGTTCATGAAAATGATTATCTTCTCACTTCTTTTAGAATTTGAAAAAGAGGCAAGCGATCCTGAAGATGACCTTCTCGAAGCCGAAGAGTCCGTCCACAGAGCTGGAGTTTGAGGGTGTAGTGGAGGAGCTGAGGAAGGACAAGAAGATGTATCAGAAAAGAGTCATGCTGCAGCTCAGGTCTGTGATTCACTCGGACTTCATCTGTTGATGTATTTTAGGATGTTGTAGTTATGTTAAAATGCCAGTTGCTGACATTAATAGCTGCCATATCGCACAGACAGCCCTTCCACACCTTTCCTCAGACTTTCCTCCTACGGGAGACTTTCACCGTCGACCTCCTCAAAGGCCTCTACATCCTGGAGTCCAAAGCGGGTTTCCATGGCAACAGAGAGGTCATCCACACCCTCACCCTCGGCTACAAACCACCGAGCCCTTTTGTAAGTTTGACACATGTTGATTTATGACTCACACATGACACAAGTCGATTGTTATTGCTTATCGATATGTTTTCTGGCTTTTTCCATGTTTAGGTTTGTTCTGCACTCGTCCATCCTTTCGGCTCTGACACTATTCCATCAGACTCAGAGGTCTGCGTGACCCTAAACAGCAACCAGGTAAACTGCCAGCCTTCTAAACTCAAAACGCTCACAATAAAAAAAATAACCTCTTTATTTATTTAAAAGGTAATGACATTTTATTACATATCCTTTTACTAAATTTTGAACTCTCTTTCCTTCGCTTTTAAGGGGTCTGGATACAGAAATATCTTCTCTGGTCAATATTGAAAATGTTGGCTATTTTGCTTCTATAACATTTCTTCTTTGAGACTAGTAAAACTAAATGATCCAAAATACACACACATTAAGTGCTTATAACCAAAAACTTAGCGTTTAATAATGCATATTTAAACATTTTAGAAAGTGACAAATAAACCAAAAAGTAACTGCGTTAATGTATATTATCTACTGGGGAAGTAGCATGGTCATGAGGTGGGGACACTTTTTTTCAGATAAAAATAAAACTGTATTGCTTTTTTTGTACACACCCATTTCCTTACTATTTGCTATCAACACGTGTATAGACAGGATTCACAGTTTCAGGCTACAGACTGTTTCCGTAGGAACCATTATAGATGTGTGGCCAGGGGAAAATTAAGGAGGAAGCCGATGTTCTCCGTCTTTCTTTAAGAGTCTTGAACACGCCTGTTCTCCACAGCGACGCAAATGCACACTCACATGTTGTGAAAACCATGTTTGCAAACTGTAGCCCTGCAGGGGGGTCTGGGGGGATCCTCCCCCTTTTAACATGTAAACTACGCATTCTGGTACTCTCGGACAAGAAAATAAAGCAACAAGACAACCTTTACTTCAGGGCCAGGCAAACAGGCCAAACAACATTGCTGTATGTTTTTGGGTCATTTTAGAGTCAGTAAAGTAAGGAGGAATTACTCTGTTGCTGCAAAGCCAGAGCAATGTTTTCTTTAAAAAAAATTACATTTCTTTTTGCACGCTATTTTTCAGAACATTTACAAGTTATACTTTTAAAAAGTGGTGGGGACAAAATTGGCCATTTCAAAAAGTGTTGCAGACATGTCCCCAGCGCAAATGACGCCTATGAGCATGGTGATATCTACTAGTTACATGTTTGACCTTATTCTCCTGTATCGTGTCCCCTTAAATTCAAGTTCAATGTTTATTAAGATATTAAACTTGTAAATTATAAACTAAAACTTGCAGAGTTGTAGGATAATTTAATTGAATTACAATGGATAAGCATATTTATTTGATAAGTATGATCAAATGTAAGTAAGTACACTAACTTATATACTGTTAGAAAATGTTGGGAACATTTGTGTATTTAATATATGTTTTACATTTCCTTTTAAGACCCAGAGAGACATACAGGGAAGGTTACGGGTCGGCAGCAAAGAGAGACTGACGTTCTTTGGACAAGTTCAGTTTAACCCTTTGCACTCAACTCACCAAGAGATAAAAGTCAGAGCCAACTTCTCCCATCTACTCCAGGTGAAGCAGACTATTACCATCATTATTCTACAGACAAAACCATTTGTTATATGTATGATGCATGCAGATAGCTGTAAGTTCTTAACAACTAACAAGTCCACCTCCAGCAGCGTACAGTATAGTTTACAGTAGAAAAGGCTGAACTTGTGACCACTTGTCTGTTATTACTGTTACAGCTGCAGCTCCCCTCCTCCGCTATAGTGGAGGGAAATGTAGGATGGAACCCCAAAGACAACAGTGACTTTGATTATCAGGCTGGAGGGAAACTGAAAATAGAGCGACAGGAATGCCAAGTGAGTAAAAACAACTCGGAATTGTAATTATTGCATGTTTAATTGGCGTTAATTATGCATTTTTTGTTTGTTTCTCTTTAGCTTTCTGTACAGCTCAATGGAACATCAGGAAGAGTCGGTCTTTATTCCTCCCTCACCCATCCTTTCAAATCAAAGATACCCAAAACATTAGAGGTAGACTGCTTCGGTTTTTTGCAAAATAATGTCTGTCAGTGGTCCGAAAATAGTCAAATAAATAAAAAGTCAGAAAACAAAATGTGTCTGCATTTTAGCATCTAACCTATCTTCTAAATGTGATGTTGTCCATGTTAAGGTACAGGCCACTGCAGACGTTTCTGCAGTTCGTGGCACAGGAAGTAGCTCCCTACATGTGAGGGCTGATGGGAAGGACAGGGTGAAGCTGGACGCCCAGATGTCCCACTCCATCCAGAGGGGAAAGAGAGCCATGGGACTGACTGTGAACGTATCCCAGAGTCTGCTACCTTCTGCCACCGACCTGCACGTAAACATGGCTGCCAACATGTCCTCGGACAGGTGTGTGCATCTATCTTTTTTTGGTATAGTATAATTGAATGAGGGTTTGAATACCATCCGTTCAAAAAAACAACAATAAATAATATTAGCAACACACAAAATGATAACAAAATGCAATTGATGAAAAAAATATGTATTTTATCCCTATTGTTATGATTTCTTGTCATTAGTTTATAGAACATGTAAAGTAGGTTTTCCTTTTGCGATCATGTAATGGTAATACACCACATCTATTGCACTGTATCATTTTGTGTTAAATAATGTCTTAAGTCTCTTTTTGGACGTTTGATTCTCATTGCAATAACGTCCCTCCAGTGTGTCTCTACATGGCTCCTACACTCAGGGCCATGAGGCTCTGCTGGCTCAGCTCAAAGGGTCTCTCAAAGACACCGGGGGTCTCCAGCTGGCTGTGTCCGGGGACCTGAGGCACTCCATGGCCAGCCTCGCTGTGCTGCCTACAGTCCTGGGGCTGGACGGGCTGCTGGGACAGTCTGACACCCTCATTGAAGGTAGTGTTCATTTAATCAACTAGTCATTTTCTGCCACCAGGGGTCTTCCAATCAAAACAATATCTAAAGAGTTTGGATGCATCGCAAAGAAGCATGGAATTGTGAGTTTTTATTTGCAGTCAGCTTCTCCTGGATAGGATTCCTTCATTTAGTTTTACAGGGAGCTGAGTTATCTAGAGAGGTCCCCTTCTCTTCAAAATTAATTAATCTGGGGAATTAAACTATAATACTCGATAAAGCAACAGTTATACATCAGTGCTTCCCCGACGCAGTCCAGCTGCTCCTAACATCTGCTTAGCTTGTTTCTGTGATAACTCTTGTGAACCAGTCAATCTTACAATTAAATAAGGAGTCTAATCCCCCAAAAACTTGTGGGGAATTGTGTTTGAGTATTTAGTACGTTGAGTAAACTGTAATCCATAGACCATATGTCTATGTATCGCCAGTAACGCTATGATAATAAAATTAAGAGGGCCCAGTGATTGATCCCTGAGGCACCACTCTTAATTTAATCTCAAATTAATGTACATTAAAGGGTGTTGAACATAGAATAGAATCGGAGGGATGAAACGCTCTTTAATGGTCACACATGCAGAGCACACAGCACAGTGAAATGTGTTCTCTGCTTTTAACCCATCCTAGTGCCAGGAGTCTAGTACTAGGAGCAGTGGGCAGCTATTGCACAGCACCCGGGGAGCAATAGGAGTGGGGGGGAAGGGGAATGTCCGGTGCCTTGCTCAAGGGCACCACGGCAGGGCAGGAGGTGAACTGGGAACTCTCCAAGTAGCAGTCCACACTCCATATTTAGGTCTGTTCGGGGACTTGAACCGTCGACTCTACGGCTCGCAGTCCAAGCCCCTACTGACTGAGCCACTGCCGGACATATTGTGATTTAATGTTATGTTAAATGTTTTTTCACTTGTTTCTTGTTTATTGTTTGTCATATCTGAAGTTGTAAATGGATCTGCAAAAAAAGCTTTTGACTTGAACTGACAATATTATCGAATCATATCATATAATTTAAGATACAGTCGTTAGATGACTAAAGTCCTCCACCGGGTAAAATATTAAGCTAAAAACCACCAATATCTAAAAAGAGTGTTGTAAAAAAGTTGCTTAAAATCCGATAACACGTCAATTTATGGCAGGGGATGCATCAACATATGAGTCGACCAATTGAAATGCACCGTTTCCTTGATTTAAACAACCGGAATTTCTCTATATTGATATTGTTGGAAACACAACCAAATAGCTAACATATTGTAGGTTTATAGGTATAGACATTTGAATGCGGAAATGTTACCTATTATATTTGTAATATTACGTGGTAGCTTGTGATTTAGTTTGGACATTTACTTCCTGACATCGTGATCATTTTTTATTCTTTGTTATCATTGTAGGACAGCTGAGAGTACGAGTGATGGAGACCTTGTACAGCGTGGAGCTCAGACATCAGGAGGCTCTCAGAGATATTTTGGACAGAGAAGATGAAGAGGGCATGATGGGAACAAAATTTCACATGGCACGTGATTGGCTGTGTGTTCGGTCAGGGGCGGAGCATTTGTGCATGAATGCGAGTCGCCGAATTGGGGATGGAGGGATGGGAGAGATCTACACAAGGCTATCTCATTCCTTTGTCTTACTAAATGCCACAGGTAAATCATTACTTTATACGTATGCACACATATAGCTTCTCCTGGTGTCTGACTGCCTTTGACCACTGAATACAGGTGTACCTGCCAGCAGTGATGCCCAGCTGAGGTGGGCCCAGGATGAAGGTCGTTTGTCAGTCTTTGCAGAGCTGCATGCTGGAGCAGAACATCTAAAAGCTGAGTTTAATGGAGGAAAGACTGACCAGCTTACACAACGATGGGAGTTCTTCTCCAGGCTGCACCATCACTTCAAAGCCCTGCTGAAGAGAGGTGTATCAGGCTCCATACTAGCTAAAGCACATTACCAGGTGCAGGACTATCTACCATTTTTATATCCCTAGCATATTTCATAAACAACACTAGATCTATCAACTTGATATCTGTTCTTGTGTTTTCTTTCCCACGGTTAGTTAGAAAAAGAAAGTCTGGACACAGGCGTGGTCCTTCACACAGGAGACGAGAGAGTGGTTGATATCCTTTTTAATGTTGTATCAAAGAACAGCGCAGCTATATTGGAATTGTCTCTATGGCAACAGATGAAGATCCTTCAGGGTGTCATACCCACCTCTTTACAGGTAAACTTTACAGCATGTATACACTTTAATTTATCGATTTATTGCCTATGACTGAACATTTGAACTTTGACTGTGTCTTTCATATTAAACAATACATTTGGAGCGTTGTCCTTTATACATCAAGTTATCAGTTAATCCATCAATTAAAATTCTCTGGAAAGAAAATTATGTAATTCTATCATAAAATAATGTTGCTTTTGGAAATAATGTCAAATAGAGAGGGCCCACAGATTATCCCTGGAGGACACCGCACTTCACTTGATCCTTATAACATCCATCCATTGGTACAACTACTATATGTTCACCCTGCATGTAGGAAACAACTTAAAGGGATGGTAACACTTTATTAATAAATCATTAATAAATGGTATATTGATAGTTATTTCACTGTTAACAGAGAATGAAATGATAACTTCATGATACAATTACATACATTAAAGTACTATTTATTAAACAATAAACATTATAAATTATATTTGTATTATTTTTTAGATTACTATCAACTTAAATGATTTAACTCTCAATTTAATATTTATCAATAATGGACTTTAGAAAGTTTTACAAAGCAAGGAAAGCTGTCTTCCTCTTTGTTTGTCTTTATGCTCAGCTAATCTAAGCTAACAACCAAGAAATACTTTTTTCCCTCCAAGAAATATGACTTGAAAGAGGTTGTCCCAGTATTCCAGCATTTCCAGCTGCACACCATGATCAGCAGTATCAAATGAACCAGTAAGAACTAAACAGAAATTCTGCTTCAACAATAAACATTTTATGTTTTAGAAAATGGGCTCAAATTAGCATGTTGGTGTACCACAACATGTTTGACTGTTGCACGTCTAAGGTTCAGTAATTCCACAGAAATTCTTCCATCTCCTCCTTCAGTTTCTTCTTTGAAAAACAAACTTTGCTAACGGGTGTTTTTGTTTTCACAGATGAACTGCACAGGGGACTCCAGCGCAGAGCGTCTCTCAGCCCAGTGCTATGGAAATGTCTCAGGTTGCCCCGTGGAGGTACGAGTATTTCGCTCCTATAGACCACACAACAGGCTCTGCTATGGCCTGTCGCTAGCTCACTTTAGCCTTAGTGCTAGAGCTAAAGACTGTTACGGTCCTAACAGCCAGACGGAGCTCCAGGCTAACCTCACCCACTCCTCCGTGCTAATGCTAACGTATCTGGGCGTGCCTACATAATCTAGTCTCAGGCTTCTGCTCCGACCTGGGCCTCAGAGGTGGGCCCTGAGTGTTGGGTTGGTTTGTGACCCTTGGAGAATGGACCTAAATTTGGGACTGAGGCAAGAGAGGCCTGGGCTGTATGGCTGGCATGGGCTGCTTGAGTTTGGGGGCCGCGGTGTTACCCACAAGGCTGAGCTGACAGGTCGGATGTAATATCTGGGCGGATGTCAATGTGGCCTGGGACTCACTGACCTCAAGTCTGTTGCTGTCTGTGCGGTGCAAAGGGGTGGGGAGGTTAACATGGGTGCAGATTAGGAGGGTTGAGGGGGGTGTACCACAGAAAACCTCTTTAACAGTAAATAGGCTGGCAGGGAAAGATGGATTTACATGTTCCCTAGGTCTGGAAAGTGTGAAGGACTCCAGTCAGTGCTTCTTGTCTGTACTGCTGAAGGACATAAAGGTGGAAGTGGGCTGGACTCTGCAGCATCACTGGGCTTCTCTTACCTCCATCTTCCCAAACTAAATAGATCTCCAGGGGTCAGGGGAGCTCAGTGACACTTCCCTCTCTGGAAGTGCCATGGTTTCTTTCAACACCCGCTCGGTTCTGATAGACCTGACTACTTCCTGGGAGCCCTCCACCTCCTTGAAGGTCATGCTTCAGCAAAACCTGACCCACACGACAGTACCATCCGAGCTAACGGTTAGCATGTTGACCACGGCTGGTCGAGCTGAATTGGAGTTGGAAAGTGATGCGTGCTCTGTGCTTTTCCTGACAAATCAACAAAAAGGAGGAGACAGGAGGAGCAGCTGGAGCTTTCTTGTCCACCAGCGATGTGTCTTACTGAAGGTTAGAGAGGAAACAAGTGCACAGAGACTTGTTTCCCAGCAGAGGAAAGCAAAAGAAACATCTTCGCCATGGAGATGACTCTCTGTCTTTCCATTACATTACAATTCACATTGATAACACTGTTACTAAAAGTATCAATGGACCCTGGAATGGGCGCTTATAAGACTTTATGGTCTGCAATGTCTGTCCCTATGTTCAACATTTTGGTTAACACTGATACAAATAATGATCACAGGAACAGGATCAATTGTAATAACTAACGCACATGAGGTGAAAACTTTGTCCATGACTTTGGTTTATGATCCAGTACCTGCCACACTAATGACATCAAAGATTTTCTATTCACAATTATCTCAACAATATTAAACCTTTTTTGCACTTAAATTGAAATATATTGCAATGGTCTTGTTTGTGAACTTCAGTAACGTAATCATGGAAAGAAAGAAGCTGAAATAATAAATATTATTGGTACGGTCAGCAAAGTGGCTTCTATGACTTATAGCAAGGACTTCTTTACTCACACCACAGTGAATTGGAACGTGATTATTACCTGAAGGGTACATCTTAAGACTTGTTTAACTAACCCCCCCTGCTTATAAGTTTGTAAGGGGGTTCTAATCTTTCCTTCTTCATTTCAGACCCTCCTGCCAGCGCAGACCTCAGCCAACATCTCCATCACCCGCTCTGGCTGCTGCACTGATCTCAGAGCTGTCCTCCATGCTGATGGGGAGCAGAAAGGCACCCTCATTGTGCACTCCACATGTTGCCCTCAGCTCAGTCTGAGAGCATCTGTACAGCACTCTATTGAGGCCGTACAGATGCTGGGACTTCCTGCCTACGGGGCTTTCATCCTGAATGTCTCAGCTGCACATCTGCCTGGCGTGGAGGTCGGTTTGGAGCTGGGTCATTGTTATTTCAGAGGTCATTTAGGGAAAACCCAGGATCCACAGACAGAGGAGGAGCCGGCTTCCTACGCTGTCAATGTGACCAACCACTGCCCCGCTCTACAGGTCAGAAGATCAATCGCTCCTGAATAAACTCATATGTTTAAATTGTAAATACTTAATTTACAAAGTAAAACGTAAAATACTTACGTAAGTAATACTTACTCAAACTGTGACGACATATTAATCTTTCTTTCATCGCAGTTAGAAGAACTGTGATTTCCTACATGTTCAACCCGGTCATGTTTACACAGATTCCTTTGAAGAACAGTTTCCAGCTCATTAGAAAGTCAAGATACAGCTCATTTATTATAGCAGCAAGCAGAACAACACATGCTGGATTACCTGTAAAAACACCTGCTGAGTGCCAAATCTCCTTCTACCAAGAGACAATCTGGGTCCCTGGACTTAACATGGGCTGTACATTTGGGCCCTATTCTGCTCATTCTCAGGTTCATATCAGTATTTAGTGTCTCTCCTGTGACATGTCTCCATGCTTTAATGTTCAAGAAGCTCTTTATTTGTCTCACACTGCCTGTGCTGCAGCACCTTTTTTCACCTTCTGTCTGAAACCAGAGCCCAGTCTGCTCTGATTGGTTAGCTGGCCAGGTCTGTTGTGATTGGTTAGCTGGCCGGGTCTGTTGTGATTGGTCAACCGCTTAGAAATGTCCCGCCGCTTTGCCTATCACGCACAAGTGTTACATAGTGATGCCGGTATGTTACTGAAGTAAACAAAGAAATTCCAAACTTCCTTTGGAAGAAACCCCTAAAAGCACAATAGGGCTCCTTTAAAAAAGATATACAATTGACAAGGGTGAGAAGGTATTGTATGCAATGTTTGGTAGGAAGTTAAAAAGCAGCAGATAAAACTGAATTAAAAGACTTAACGTAAGATGATTATTAGATGTGAATCTGCATTGGGCTGCAACTAGTTCATTATTTTCATTATCCAATATTGAATCTTTAATGGGGCCTTTTGGTGGTTTACTCCAGAGGAATTGTCTTCCCCCCTGCCTGAAACGCCTCCATTGGTCTCCTTTAATTATTTTTGTAAACATGTCCCAGCCATAAAATGATGACAACAAAATATCAAATATAGGAGAGTTTATTTTATATCCACAAGTAATAAAGATATCAAAAACAACTACTGATGAACATCCTCCTTGTGTGTCTGTGCCACAGGAAACGGTCCTCCCGGTGTCCCTGACCCTCCGGGGCCTCCTGTCAGTCGGCCCCTGTCAGCTCAACATGACCTCCTCTCTAAGGGCAGACTCTGAGGGCCTCTCCCTGGAGCTGGGGCAGGTCTGCAGGCCCCCGCGTCTCTCTGGGAGCCTCACCCACTCTTTCTCTGGGCTGAGGAGCCTTGGCGTGCCCCAGACGATGAGCATAGAGGCCTCGGCCCCAGAGCAGGCAGGGGCCCTGCTCATAAAGACTGGGACGTGTTCCATCAGAGCCAATAGAGTCTCAGGGTCCTCAGGAAGGACACCGTGGCTCTGGGCTCTGGATGCTCAATGCCCATTGTTACAGGTAACTACTAAAGTCTTGATGTAGCAGGAAGTTGTTTTAAAGCTGTCCTTATTCCATACAATGACCATGTGTATACGAAATACTCACGCTGTGTTACTTTGAGCTCTTGAAGAAGAATATGTTTTTCTCTTATGACTCCAGGATGAAGAAAGAACAGTACAACTATATCAAAACAACCGTTTACAAACTCTTACACAACTATTGCAGCATAATTCAAGTCTTAATTCTACAGTAGTATGTTGAAGTCTTCACAAATATCTGCATTTTCACAAAAAATGATATATGTATTTAAAACACTTCAGATGCCTAGAACAAGGCATACTCATACAACGGTTTGTATGATATCTTACAAATCTTGCAAATGTTTTATACAAAGTCTAGTAATCTCATATGCATTTCAAAGAATCAAAGGTTTAATGTTATATGCATAGTGGCTACAGTGTAGACATGGCAATGAAAACCTTAAGGCCCCGGCCACACGAGGACGCTTACGGCTAAACGCATAGGATTAACGCAAACGCAAAAAAGCTTCCGTCCACATGCAATGTTCACCGGATACTAGGCTTGTTTGAGACGCGTTGCGGCTCGCCTCGAAAGTAGACGAGAATAGCCGATCGCACCCCGGGGAGGTCTCAAAAAGCTCGCCTGAAGTCGGAAAGCTCGGAGTCGGCTTCTTCTTCTTCTTCTCTCGGTTTTTTGGCGGATTGCAAACAACTTTAAGGTGCAGACCGCCACCTCCGGAGTTGGCTTGACTCGGTTTGCATTTATAAAGAATGCACACATGTGTTTAATCGTTAATGTCAGATATGTACTAAGTAAATACATTTGTTCCTGCTCAAGATTTGATTCAACTTTATTGTTATTGCACAGATTACAGGTACTGAGACAACGAAAAGCAGTTTAGCTTCCAACCAGGAGTGCAGCAAGCAGTAAAGTGAAAAGTAATGTACACAATCTACAGAATAAAATATAGAATGAATTGAATGATGAATAAACAGTGAGGCAGTATGAACAGTGTGTATGAATATGCTAAGATATATAAAGTATGAAAACGGTAAGCAGTGCAAGTATAGTATAACATATATAGATATTAATTTCATGATGATAAACATTGTGGAACAATGATGAAAAATGTTAATGGACGTCGTAAAACTGACACAAAACAACAACAAACTTTTGCCGAGCCAATTGGAGAGTTTCATCACCAGCACGTGGTAAAAACCACCAATGAGCGCTCAGCTCGAGATACCAGCGAGTCGTTTCCCATCAAGCATTTCGCTTCCGCAGCCCGTGGAGAGGAACTGCGGCGCCTCGCGGCACCTCGCGGTGCCTCGCTCTCAAGGCTGCGGGCGTCTTTGTCCCGCGAGATTTCAACGTCTCATGTGAGCGAGCCTCCAGAGCAAGTCGGACAAAATGACTAACCATCATGCAACGCACTAGCAAGACGTTGATCGAAATTGCGCAGGTCTGCGCAGGTCTCGCTTGTCTCAAACAAGCCTTATATGTCTATGGCCAGGAAA